CCATCCATGTATCCATCCATCCATCATCCATCCATCATCCACCCATCCATCCTCCATCATCCACCCATCATCCATCCATCATCCATCCATCCATCCATCCATCCATCCAACATCCATCATCCGTCCATCCATCCTCCATCATCCATCCATCCATCATCCATCCATCCATCAATCATCCATCCATCATCCACCCATCATCCATCCATCATCCATCCATCCATCCATCCTCCATCCATCCATCATCCATCCATCCTTCCAACCCCCTTCCTTGCATGGGCCCAGGAATAATGAAGGCTGAGTATTTCTAACAAGCCTCTCAACTGACAAAGCTGAACCCTGATTCCCAAAAGTAGAGACTTTTGCTGTACCTCCAGAGTTCAGGCTTTGCCAGTTTCCAGCCCTGGGAAAAGTGACATTTACACAGCCCAAAGGAGGACACTGAATCTGCCAAAGACCTCTTTTGAGAGGAAAAGTTTCCACAGAGAAGGACAAGTGCAATTTGCACTGTAGGTACCACTTTACATCTCTTTATAGAGTTTGAACCTGCTACTGCCTATAAACCCATGAGCCCAGACCTACAATTCACACAACAGCTGTTACCAAGTGTAAATTTATTAGCACTAGGTTTTACTCCAACCCTGATGGCCACGACTTAGGCACCAGAATAGGTTTGATTTGCAGGTGCAACACAATTCCTCTCGCATTAGAGGTCAACACAGACCATCCAGACCTTCAAAGCATTAAAATCAAAAGTATTTTCCAAAGTTCAAAACTCACCTGAGGCTCATTCCAAGTACCATTCACAATTTTGATTTCAAGAGAGACTCACAGTTATGCCAGTAAACAACAACACACAACCTTTGCAGGAGGTTGCAGGCCTCTCTGAAAATAATTTCTTAGAAATATGCTCAGAAGGATTGGAGAAGGAAACAAAAAGTACCTATAAATCATATGGCATGCCTGAGTGTTGCTCAGGTGAATGCAAAAAATTCATGTTATTTGCAGTATGTATATCTCTTCCTGAGTTGAATTTCATTCCCAGTATGGAATCCAAGCATCTGTTTTCTTTTTTTGGCAAGGTACTCAATCACATGGTAAGGCAATCCAATTTTCTGGTTTGCTTCCTGTCTTGTTTCCTCCTAAATGGCCAAGCATTTCTCACCAAGATCACCACTACAATGTGTGCCAGAACATGTTTAAAATATGGTCCTGTAAAAATAGAAATTAGGTTTGTTTCTTTGAAGGCAGCATTAGTTCTTCATATATTCTGGGATCTCGAAGATTTCAGCTGAACAGATTCAAAATTATCTTCCTTTTCCTGCAATGTAAAAGACAGGCTCCCATCAGCTGGATTTCCTCAAAATCTCTCCAGCAAGACACGACAATCACTTCTCTCAATATCCTTTGCCAAAAAGTTCACTTTATTTTTACTACAGTAATTAAGTGCACCGTTTGACCTTTTAATATTTAATAACATTACTAAATTACTAATTCTGTAAAATTTTGCAAAACTAATAAAACTATGCTATAGCTATTGTTCATGTACTATTTTATACTTAATAGTACTCATTTTAGAGGGTACAGGGAAAGTCTGCACTTCATAGAATAGGACAGGTAGTCTGAGCTGGGGAATTGCAAGGTAATAATCATCTCGATGGTTATTACCACTTATTAATGTGTTTCCTGCCATATATTGAATGCTTGCAGCATAGCATGTGAGTGTGAACACCATTGCCTTGCTCCTGGAGTCCAATCTCAACACTTCCTCTGAGACACCCACAAGACAAAACAAATCATTTGCCATCTTAAAAATCAGGGCTAGCGGGTTGAGTTTTCTCTCTGTGCTCATTTTCTGGGTGACAGCCTTGGCCATCTGGCCAGCAGACATCAGGGTGAGCCAGAAATGTGGACATACACACCCAAATAGTATGCAAACTGTCTTAAACTACCTTCATAATCTGATTTTTAAAGCCATCTCACACAGATCAGGACAGCCTGATGCAGACATGAGAAAGAAGGGGAGAAATTATCCTATGCTAGTCTGGTGAAAAATACATGTTCTGAAGAGCCTGGTATTGTCATGGTGGAGACAACAGACACAGCTAGAACAGCCCCCAATCTCAAACAGGTTTGTAATTATTTGGCTTCTATTTTCTCATTAAAAACAAGTCATCCCTTTCTAAATTACAGACCTAGCCCTCAATCCCTTGGGTACTCAAACACACTGATAACTTTGTGACATGCTGGCAGAAATGCCATAGCCTGAAGCTTGAACATATAGTTAGGTTAGTACAGATTTCCTTTCTCTCTCATTTTACATTTCTCCTTTTTCTCCCAGGTTTTCCTCCATATATTTTTTCTGTATTTTACATGCATATGTACTAGGATATTAATTTCTTCATCTTTTGCATAAATGAAAAGCAATGCCTATAACATTTGTTTTTGATAAATATATATTAAATTTGAGTTATCTGCAGGGATATAGGACACAGAGCTGAGTAAGCTAATGAGGTACTGGAAGTCGAGTTTGCCAGCTATTGTTATCTAGCAGTAAAAAAAGGAACAAGCTCAGAAATATCTGACAAACTTGTTGAAAAAGGAGAGAACATTCAGGAGGCCTGCTACAGTGGATATAGGAACATTAAAAAACTCCAAGTAAGCATTCAAGTTGTCTGAATACTGAAGTACTAAAGCTTACTTCTATTTTTGCAACATCACCACAAAATTTTATGCGATTTGATTTTATTTACATTTTCAATATTCTCAATATTAAATTAAGAATTAATATTGAATTTCTGCCCCTTTCTACAAGGAACAATATTGATTTTGCAGGACAAATAGGCTGGGGTGAAGAGAAAATTCTGCACATTATCTTTGCAATGGTAACTTCTCCTAGGAGGGAGAAGTAGTGTGGCAAGAGAACACCAGTCAAATAAATAAATTACAAGAATGAAGAGAAGAGAGTAATAAGTGAAAAGAAAGGTAAAACACAAGTTTTAATTACATTGCCCTCAATCACAGAAAGAAAATAAAAAGGGACACAAGGGAAAAAAATCTCAAAATTCAACATTCTGAGATATTTTTTGGACAATAAACTAGAGTACAATGTTTTAAAATTAATTTTTATTATGATCTTTTAAGAGACTTTCTGAGAAACTCACTTCAACAAAACTGTTTGAAAGGGAAAATGTCATTTGCCTTTATCCTGATCATAACAGATGCCCTCACTGGAATCCCTTAAAGATAACACTGCCCTTTCCATAGCACAGATTTCAAGGCATTTGGAAAAAAGACCAAAGAGCTTTGGATCTACCATGATGGCCCTCTGTGGCTCCTCTCAGAAATGTTCAAAGGACACCAAAGATTTTGGTGCTGTCAATTCAGACATGCAACAATCCACATCACATCTACTGCAGAAAACAAAATGCTTTTTTGGTGTTGCTTCCCACTGAAAGGGAGGAGGCTGCTGTGTTGGCCAACAGGCTGAAGCTGATGCTTCCTCTTCAGCTGAATCCTACTCAAAATTATGGCTCTCAAGTCAGCCAGGATGGCAGCCCAGGTGAGCTGCAAGCAGCTGGCTGGTGGCTGTGTTCCCAATATTAATTTTTTGTACCTCTAATAGCTTTGTTTGCCTCAGCAATGGATGTGCCTGGGAGGATTCCGGACAAAAAGGTTCTCTCTGCCATTAAATGTTTTTTTCTGATGTCACCCTTGCAAAAAAAAATGCTACTGAAATCTCTCTGTGGAGGAAGGAGCATTTACCCAAAACCTTACAACATTTCTGAATTTTATCCAGACTGTGGATTTCAGCAGATCACTATGGACTAGCTGAGGTGTGTGTGGGAGGCTGCACTGCTTTGAAATTAGCATCAAAGACTTATCACATCCAGTAATAAATAAAGGTAATAATTATTTTTAGTATTAATATTGGTAATTACTACTCACCTTTGTTGCCAAGGATTTGAGCTTCCCCAGCAGTGACTGCTTATTTGAATATACTATTTCTTCTTCATTATCTTCTCCTTCCATTATAGCACAGCTGTCAGCAGCTGGCAGTTCACACTCTTTTGAGTTCGTTGTCATCACTAATTTGGAATATTTATACTCCAGCCTGAAGATATAAAGCCACACAGGAATAGATTTTTTTTCTCAAATGTCCCATACTCAGGATCTTTATAATTTAGATTGTCTGCAGTCCTCCCACATAGTTACTTCTGAGGTAAATACTGAGGAAATTAGATACTTTTCAATCATTAAAAATAGGTAACCAAAATAGTGTTAACAATACACTGAGCTCTTGCTCTCCAATTAGTCTCCTATCCTTAAAAAAGAACCATGTTTTCCCAAAAGACCACAGAGAGGTCAAGAGGGCTTCCTGCATGAAGAAGTGCTGGTTGGGGCAACAACCAAAGTACAGCTAAGCAATATGGCCAAAACCCTAATTTTTGACCAAGCGGAAAGGGACTAATTAAACTAAAGATACCCTTCTGGTCTTCAGAGCTTGAGAAAATCATGTTGCTTCAGAATTTAAAGTCAACTTCAAACTCTCAAGGGTTAAAAAGAACAGCTCCTATTGGGAAATTATGCCATTGCAAATTACTGTGGATGTTCTATACCTTTTTCACTGGAATTTTTTATAGCCACCATTGACAGAAGAAACATCAACTTGGTGTATGAATGGATTGATCCTACAAAGGTACTTCTCATCAACAGTGTCATAAAATCAGATTCAGGAACAGTCACTCCATCAAGCTTTTAGCTAACTTTTATATAGAACACAATTTGCAGTACTTACTTCTGGTTCTTCTTCCAAAAATAGCAAGTCAAGGCTATGAGCAGAACGGCTGTGAAAGCACCAACACCAGCTCCAACTTTAAGCCAAAAATCCACTGTTTCACAAGTGCTAGTCTTCTTTTCTGGCAAGGGAACTCCTTTAATGCAATGCTTTGGCTCATTCCATACATATAAAGTTTCCTTTCAAAGACAGAACACCAAAAAGTGAGCTGCTTGTAGGAAGAGAGAGAACTGTTTAGACTTACAGACGACAAGCTATTCTGAGGTAGAAAGGTCAGATAACTTTTCAGTGAAAGCAAACCAAAACACATCCTTCAGGTTTTCAGACTTCAGGTTTTCAGTTATATTGTCTAATCAGTCATCCCCTTGCTTGTGCCTGCAGGTTCAGGAATGGCAAAAGGATTTCCTCCACTGTGTAGCTCTCCATGTGACACAATATGGGCTGGACAGATATTGGGAATAAGCTGTGCCTGCACAGGAGCTGCTGATCAACAGGACAGTTTGAACCTGTGGAAGGACTTCCTAATATTTGACTAGAGAAGGCAGCAGCAAAAACATTGCAAGTAGGATGAATTTATGAACTGATGTTTGGAAACCTTTCCTAGCCTGCCCCTGATGTTCATGGCTATGAAAGAACTGAAGTCCTTTGGGCACTCCATCCTTCAAAAATAACTGTCCTGCATGTATGAATGCATTGAGTGGTCACATCCTTACTCACAGAGTTGGCCAGCACAAGCCAGCTCTCTTACAGGAACCACACTGCCATTGACACAAACATTCCTGAGTCTCAACACAACTCCTCCCCAGCTTGCATCCAAGCCAACTCAGAGCCTGGGCTGAGATCTCCCAACCCACTTACATATCAATTTGCCTAACAAATTTAAACAAGAGTCCCAGTTATACATAAATGAGCCCATTTGGCTTCAAGACATGGGTCCTGTACCTGAAATCCTTTTTTGCAGGCTCCCTCAATCTCGTGGTAGTCTTGCTCTGTGCAGAGAGGACAAGCTTCTGCACTTTCCCATAGAAAGTAGAAAGTGCATCCATCGCAGGTGCCCGCGGGGCAGGAGCTACGAGGAGAGCAGAGCTCAGTTATCAGTTAGGAAAGAAACGCTCTGGGGTTTGCATCCTCATCCACACTCTGCTGCTGAAGACTGGGAATGGGAAGTATGAGAAATGGATAAACATCCATTAAGAAGAATTTGGGGGAAGAATTTTTCCCAGTTTGTGAAATGCTTTCTCAAGGGAGAGGAGAGGAGAGGAGAGGAGAGGAGAGGAGA